AAAATCATTATAGCGGGGTAGTGGATATTGTAAAATTTATTTTTGAGGGGACTGGACTCTAATCGTGTCGTATTTTAAGTCGAAGACGCGAGAAAGATTGGATTATGTAGTGGAGCGAGATAAAACAGCAATGAATATGGCTTAAGACCTAGCACTCAGTTACCGCGCGCAATTCTAATGTCAGTCAGCAAGTCTCCATAAGTATGTGTCTCTCATTTGCTGAATTATTTTCAAGCTTCATCCCAAAAAAATAAGTAATTTATCAAATAAAGAGTCGACAGAATATAATATAATCGTTTTCGTCTCGCTTGTAGCTCAGTCAGCCGCTCTCTAGCAACGCGTCGATCATGCAATTGATACATTAAAAGCTGCCGACACCTTGACTCACTGGTTTTTGCATTCGGGCGGTTTTTCGGTCGAAGCGGCACCTCCTTCAAGTGCAGGAAACTTTTTCTTAGACCGAGGCTTCGGGGCCTCGTCATCTGTAGGAGATTCCTCATCCGAATCTTCGTAATCATCGTTCTCCTCTGGGTCGTACTCCGAGTCATCTTTCTCGACAGCCTCACCAGTGAACCACAGCAAGGCTTGCGGAATTATGGTTTCGTGAATAGTGAAGCCAACCTCGAAGTCACCACTGAGTTGGCGCATGATAATTTCGCTCTGCAACGGCATACGACAAAAACACATATCTAGGTAAAAAGTGTGCCTTTGTAAAATAAAACTGCAACCTACATTTTCGTCGTCCTCTTCTGACGGCATCTCTACAGGCGTAAAGATCTGAAAGAAGCTTTCACAGGGTTCAGTCCGGCTGACGACGCGAGTTTCGCCTTTTCCACCCTTAGCGCGTTGTTTTACCTTCTTAGTCACCTCGCATAAGTTTTGTCCCTCCTTCCACTTGATAACAGTTCCGGTCACGTTGCGCAACACGGCTTCACCCATCTCCGAGGCGTCACCAATATCGTACTCTTTGACAAGGGTCCTATTTGAGAAGAATGGGTTCTCTGCAAATTCAAATGTAAGCTTAAATCCATTATCTTCCTCGTGACTGACCGATCGCACATCAATGAGAAACTCGAAGGCCGGTAAATCGCGTTCCTGAATGAGCTCAGCCAGCACTGAGTGATTCATAAAAGCGCGCAGCCAGAATCCAGGCACACCCTTTACATCATCTTCAAGATCGGTGCTAGCCTTTTGAGAATCGGCGGAAGCAGCCGTGACAGCGTCCACCTCCTTGGAGCCGGAAACGATCTCAGCACGCTGCTTATAGAAAGGCTGGTAAAGTTTTTCATACTTTAATTCTAATGCCTTACGTTCCTTTTCAAACTCTTCCTCCACAATCGCCTGCGCCTCCTGTAGCTTTCGCAGCGCATCAAGGCGCAACAGAACGTTCTTCGGCAGATTTGCCAGACTGTCCTCGTCCTCAGCGGCTTCTGCGTCAATTACCGACAGTTTTGCAGTCTGTTCGGTTACACTGTCAACAAGCTGAAAACCACGTCCGTCATGGTGGTCTACCTCTACCACGGCATCGTGCTCGCTCGACTGGGGCGTATCAGACATTTTAGAAGTGGTGGCTTTCTGAGAATGACTGTCTACTTGGTTGGCTGTAAAGTTTTTATCAGCGTGCACCACACCACAAATTTTAGACAATCGGGTCGTTCAAATGGGCGTATAGATGTTTGGATACCTGTCATAGTCTAGTTTCAATTACTGCCTCATCAGGCACTGTGATCTACGTATTTGTGGGGGCACTTCTGAAAACACAAAGATCACACGTATCTTAAATTAAGTTTTCTTGGCATTTTGCTAGCGTTTCGTGGACTTGATTCACCAACTGTAACCCGATGACTAAGTTTACATGTTGCGAGTCGTGATGTCATTCCCGATTATATACTACACTTGATCTTAGCCAAAAGGCCGAGAAGCTGCGACGCTTTAAGGTGAGCAAAATTGTCCATTTTTTGATGGCCTCTTAAGCAGCGTCTTTTATCGGTGGCGTCGTCAATGCTGAACCAATAAAAATGGTCATAAGAAATCTAGTGGTATGCATTAGGATTTTGTTGTCTTCTGGGGCGTTTGATGACATTCCCTACAATGACGGTGGGCACAGACTTTTATACGACAAACCGCAAGCTCCTTTCACGAATATATGACAATTTTAACTCGTTGAGTCGATCATGAATGACGAATGCTTTACTGGTATATTTCTAAGCATTATTACCAGTGATGAGGCAGGTGCTTTATTGCTGCAGTGCTGTTCCGGCACTCTTTGAGGTGATCAGCTTGGCAAATTTGATTTATCAGCAAAACGCCACCACGCCGGCTGCTCACTTGAGTTGAAAGGTTAGGTACTCTCAATCGTGTTGTTAAAAATGGGCGCAATTTAGCACAAGCGTGGTGGTACGAGGATACGCTTTTGGCGAGAGAGGCCCCGAACACAATAACGTACAGCGACTAATTTTTATATCACAGGCCAGACTTCGACCTGCTCTTGTCCAGAAGCAGCATGAAAAGGTCCTGATACTCCAGTGTACTTTGACGAAACTAAACGCCAGATCCACGAAACTCTCAAATCAAGCTATATACAAGTGGCTTTCACGGTCGTTCCACCGTCGGCGAATTTTGGAAATTAGAAGCAGCTGCAAGCGATCATGAGGAGTTGATGGAGAGCGTTAGGTTCTAAGGGCTAAAGCAGATTGACGTAACCCGTCACGCTGCCAAATTTAATGGCTAAGTTCGAAACGTATTTACACGTACATATTCTCCATGTTTTTACATGAAAAGATAAGCGAATGATTAATCAATTTCTCGATGTTTCAACATGTACAATTGAGCCATGACACTTGTGCCGAACAAGTACGACTCGTGATTGAAGAGCTTGAAATTTTGTAGTAAATGAGGGTTTGAAAATAATGCGCTGGCGACTGCCCACGAAGAGGCGAGAGATGACCAAAACGATTGATAATGTCTTGGATAGTTTCGTCGACCAAAAATTACAATAATCAAACCCAGTCAACATAATTATTATAGATATGCCATGCAAAACAATTGGGCCAGTAAACAGACTTGAGAATCATTCAAATAAAACTACGTAGCTGTGCTTATGCAAGCACACATGATAGTTCAAACAAGGAGAAAAGATGCCACGAACGAGTAAAAGCCAAAGATTTCATGCAAAAACACGCGAATTACAAAGTAATGCAGTATTCTTCCACGTTCTTGTTCGGATCGTAAAGTCAAACTTAGAGAGTGCTGCAAACGCTTTTAAACACGCATGCCCCGTCAACGACGTTACAACTTTCTGTCACGTAGAAAGAAATTTTATGATGCACCAATAGTTGTAAGCTGAGTTGTCTTACTCGTCGTCTTCTTCATAGTCCACGGTCAAATCATCCATGCCCGCGAACAGCTCGTCACGCGCCATACGGGACCCTCCATTCTTGGTTTCCATCTGCTGTGGCTCTAAACCATCCTCATTCTTAGATTGAGACTGTTTGTTTCCACCATAAGTTTCTTCGGGACCATTATCGCTTTCATCGCGGCGACTTAATGCCCGATGCGGGGAAAGTACACTAGACTTTCTCCCGCCCGAACCCGAAGCGCGCTCATGAGCAGATGATGGAGTCAAAGATTGCTCGGGGTGAGACAATCGCTCGTCATGATGGTCACGATGAAAATTGCGGTGATCTTTCTCGTCCCGACTTCTGGTATGGCGCGAGTAACGGCGTCGTTCATGACGGTCTCTGAGGTTGTCAGTCTCAAGATCATACTCGTGAAAATCAGAGGGAGCCTCGGGTCTGTGATTTATACTGTGAATGGTCGGCGACCGCGGAGGTGAATATTCAGCTTTAGCTTTGCTCCCACGCGGTTCAAAGTCTTCAAAACGTTCATTTCGGTAAGACTCGCGCTGTTGTTGAGAGGAACGAAGCGGAGACGGGGTGCGTCGACGATTTTGTGACAGTGGGGACAACGAACGATAATGCTTGGGGGGCGGATGAGGAGAATGAGAACGGGGCTGTGGAGGAACTACTTCCTGGCGGTAAATTTCGCCGGCAGCTCTTAGAGGCTGTTGAGCGTGAAATT